ACTTTCTTATGTCCCCTTTTAGAACAACAAGACAGAAGAGTCTGAGTCTGGACCCGAACACGGACGTCCTGATCGCACTGCTGCCGTTGTTCCACATCTATGGCATGGTCGCCATCTTGGGTGTCGGTCTGGTCCAAGGGGCGAAGGTTGTGAGTCTGCCTAAATTCGATCAAGAGCTCTTCCTGAAGTGCATCCAGGACCATAAGGTGATATAACAATTACTACATTGCTTACAACATCTGATTAGGGAATAAAGGTACATAATGAAAATAACCAACTTGTCCTTCTTCAACAAACTTGTATCAGGTCCACAGGGTTTATATATTGTATATCAAAGCACAGAGAATTTATTTTGCGGCCGCAGTCGCATTTGTGAGACTAATCTAGCGTCTTCTTAAAGCCACATTTTGTAGTCGATTCTCCGTATTTCCAGGTGACTCGCGTGTCTTGTGTGCCTCCTGTCGTCCTGTTCCTGGCCAAGCACCCGCTGGTGGACAAGTACGACTTCTCTCACGTGAAGGAGCTGGTGAACGGCGCCGCGCCGCTCGGCAGGGAGCTGGCACAGGCGGTCGTCACCAGGCTGAAGCACCCCACCATCCGGCAAGGTAACACACGGCAGCGTGCGGTCCAAACAGCTGACATATGCTTCATTTGATGCTCTTTGTGGAGCACTTCTGTTGACATGTTGGCTTCTCTGAGGCCTCTTGTTTTTCCTACGTAGGGTTCGGGATGACGGAGGCCAGTCCCGTCACCCACATTGTCATGGAGGGAGAGGACCTGCCAGGCTCGGTCGGACAGCCCCTGCCAAACACTGAATGCAAGGTATGCGGTTTGGTTGTGAATACAGAAGAATTCAGCGGACGTTTTATCTTTTACGTGTGAAATCTGCAGTCGATGATGATGATGATGTATCTTAATCATTAGGTGAAAATGTTGAACTGCATGACGGTACCCGTGCGTTTCAGATAGTGGACATCGAGTCGGGTAAGCTGCTGGGGGAGGGTGAAGACGGTGAGCTGTGTGTGAGGGGGTCCTCAGGTGATGAAGGGTTATCTGAACAACCCGGAGGCCACGGCCAACACCATCAGGGACGGCTGGCTGCACACAGGTGTGTGGTGACGGGAGATTATTGTGATTATTGGAGCTTTAACAAAGAAATTTTGCCTAATATTTTATGCGACTGATCCTTAGGGTAAAAGTACCAATTTACTGTCAAGTGTTCCGGATTGTAGCTCTGAGCGTCTTCACAAGTTACTATCATTACCCTCCATGTAAATGGGGGGGTATTGTTTTTACTCCGTAATGTTTGGTCTGATATCTGAAGATCAGTGAGAAGGAACTGTATGATATTTGGCAGATTGATGGATGGGGCCTTGGAGATTGTTTAGGTTGACTTTGAGCCCCTGGTGATTGACCTTGGTACTGCAGTTTAATTTTTTTATTCTATTGTTGTCGCGTTATGGACGTCGACTGTTTGTGCGATATTAAGGTAGCATGTTGTTGTTATTACCATGGTTTAGTGGTTTAAATTTGGGTCCCCTAGCTGTTTGCGTTTGATATTTACAAAATGTTTAACGTTGGACTTTTTGTGTTGAATGTTTGGAAAATCTGGTGGATGGTTTGGTATGATATTTGGTATGCGGGTAGTTGTTGAGTCTCTTTGTGTTTTGGAGTGCATTAGCAGGTTGTCGTATATTTGTATTGCTTAATTTAAAAGGATTTTCACATTTTCACCCCTATTTCATAATAGGATGGTCTGTTTGACCCCAAACTTTGGCCGGAGTGTTTTTGTTTATACCTCCAGCTGGCAGGTCAGGCCCAGGCATCCAATCTATTTTTACCCTAGACAGAGTCTGCAGAAAATATCGTCTGGTTGTGTTTGGGTCATTGAATGGGGTTTGAATTTGTTTATGTGTGCTTGAGAGGTCATTGACCTCACCTCAATATGGTTGGTTGGTTGGTTGTCTGTTAGTGCTGTTAATGATAGTTTATTGATCCAAAGTAGGGTCTGTGATGTACATGTTTAGTCAGTTGTTCAAATTTGTGTCTGCAGATAGTGGGTAATTTGAAGGTGAAATTTTGTGTATCATTGAAATTCCTGAGGCTGTTGATGTCAGGACCGAGGTAATAAATCTTGTTTGTCTGGTCTGCAGGTCATTTGCCTGTCTGGTCATTGACCTATAGCTACATGTACAGGCAAATGACCTGCAGGCCATCAAAGTAAACAAACCATGGTAACAAGACACTAAACGCTTGCACATGACAGCTTGTTAAATATAGGCAACCCCTTCCAATACAAAGTGCCACCACAAATCATTCTGCTGATAAAAACAAAGTTTGACTCATAATATCTCTATTGAAATACACCAAAAGATTACAAAATAACAAGCTATTTCATGGAGGGATGATGTCTACGACTTCTCCTTGTTCATTCATTCATTCTCTCATTCTCTCTCATTGTTTCTAGGTGACATCGGACATTACGACGGCACCGGGAATTTCTACATAGTAGACCGTCTTAAGGAACTCATCAAGTACAAAGGGTATCAGGTGAGCATCTCTAGCACCGTCACGTTCAACTGAGGGAGTAGGCGCCATACTGGCATGGGTCTTGCCGCCTATTAAATTTGTTCTTCTTATTCTAAAGTTAAACTTAACGCTTTGGGTGGTACGAATACGAAGAGAGCCGTCTTAGTTGGTGTATGTGCTCCTTTCTAATTTGCGCGTCGATAGATGTTGCCTATGCTGTGTTGAAGACACAAATACCTGCGGTTACTGACAAAAGCGACGTCAGTCATCGGAAATGTTACACAAAAGCCTGAATTCAAGATTGGACGTTTCTGTGGCAGGTTCCCCCCGCCGAGCTGGAGGCGATGCTGCTGACCCACCCGGACCTGCAGGACGCGGCGGTGGTCGGCGTGCCCGATCCCGAGGCCGGCGAGCTGCCCAAGGCTTACGTCGTGAAAAAGGCGGGCTCAAACGTCACAGGGGAGCAGGTCATGGACTACATCGCAGGTGACGATAATCAAGAATCGTAATGCTAATGGTAAACTTTGTAATTCCTAGGAAACATTCAAGGCCTTTCAACGACCTTGGACGTTCGTACATAATCATATAGCTTACTAGAACCGTTTACGCTCTATTGATATCCGGAATAGAAACGAGACAGTAGACTTAACGATTAAAAATGATTGGGTACTATTTTTATAACTGGATTGTTATTGTTGTACTGCATAGTGCAAACACAGACTTAAGAGATGATGACTGGAGAATTAGAAAGGAATTCTTCTCTGTCCCACAGGAAAAGTTGCTCCATACAAGAAGATACGTTTTGTTGAGTTCACGGATGAGATCCCCAAATCTGCCAGCGGGAAGATCCTCCGTAAGGTGCTGAAGGAGAAGGAGGTTGCGAGGCACAGGGAAAAGTGACTCGTGTTGTTGGAGGCTGAACCTACGCCCAGCTATGCCTGTTCAGCTTGTTCTTAACGTAAACATTGTGTGAGAGGATGGACATTTTACTCTAGAACTGCAAAACATTTATGGCAGCATGGCCGCGACAAGAGAATGGCAAAATCTCCCGCTTCAATAAGTTAGATCTATAGTAATGTGATGCCATACAGCAGCATTGCACCTTGTTAGCTTTCTTTTTTATGTATGCAAGGTCACCAGTTTCTGCGACTAGGCCCGAGGGCACTCACTCGATGGTTACATGAATAAGACTGTTACAGCATCTCTTTTTCCTCATTAGAAGTTCACTGAGACTGATAACTAACTTATACTATCACGCAAAAAGAAAAGCAGGGGTTACGAAGGCTGTTCGAGAACAGACTCATCCCCCTTACCCCATTTCGATACTGTAGGATTTTGATCCACACATACACCCGGATGGACCCCGCCTCTTATCTTATCTTATGCCTGTGAATGGAAACGTTGTCTGACATGTCTGAAATACACCCCAGTGTTCATTCCTTTTCTGTATACGCAGCTGCCACCGTCTACATGAGAATTGTGTGCCTAATTGAAAGAAATGAGCGAGCCTGTGTGTGTGTTTACATGTACATGTTAATGTCCCTTTTATTGATCTTTTCAAGGACTAATATATAACTTAAAAGTGCCCTTGATCTGTTTTAGATCCGGAGTTCAAATGACAGTTCAAATATTACATTTCATACAAAAAGATGTCACAATATACGTGTAATGGCCTTTGCGGAACTATGTATTCCTGATAATGTTATAGATAAGGACTACCTACATGAATGCACAGGTAAGCCCACGTGATGACCCAACCCCCATTCAGGTGCAGAATAGCTCGTGTGCAGTGACCCAAAACAGACCAGAGCTGCCAGCGTGTCGCGCAGGTATTACCAGCGGTGTGTCCCTAGCTATAGTAAGAACGACTTCCTCACTGTCGCGACCATGTCGATCATCAAGAGCCCCCACCCCGACGTCGCCATTCCCGAGGACGTGTCGCTTGTGGACCACGTCACCAAAGACTTCGACACGTTCGGGGACCAGGTTGCGCTGGTGAGTTTCGAACTGTTTTACTGGTGGAAATCGATACGGCACGCGATCTGCATAGTTGTCGACCGGAGCGGACTGCTTGTGTGTAGAGATATATGTATGTACGCAATATCCAGAGATATACGCCATATACGCTAGAGATACGCTTAAGGTTTCTTGGCCGATCCAATCATGCTGAGTAAGACATTCACAATGCATTCCTGCCTGTTGCATTTGAGTCAGACAATGATCTTTGATCTTTTGAACGACGTCCTTTGCTCCATAATGTAAATACCCGGAGTGCAAAATACAAGACCCCTAATCTGTAACTTGAAATTATATGATTTTACCCCCGAAGTTTACTTGGGTGGACTCGTTTTTTGTATCATCTGTCCAAAGGCACATAACTGTGCCCAGTATTGTATAGAATAGAATTGCGTGAGAAGACAAAATTTTGTATTCATTGTAATTAAGACAACTATATACGAGTACTGTGCCCCATAGTTGCCGAACAGGTTTCGTCTAATTAATGGGAACATTTCGAATGAAGAAGGCGGATAGGGAATGTCACCTCAAGAGACATGTTCTTTCTCTACGAAAGACGAGTGGCTACCGATGTGTAACTGTTTCTTGTCAATGTTCAATGGTGCACCACGACCTTGGAATTCCACCTAAGGATCCTCAAGCTGTAATGACTCTCCATATACTATGCTGAAGCAAGTAAAGAACATACGTAATTGCGTGTAAAAAGAACTTTAAAAAATGATGACTGCTCAGAATATCAACGCATAGAAGTAAACCAATTATTGTTTGCAGGGGATCTTGTAAATAACCAATTCTAAACTATATTTAGTTCCAGGATGCATGGGACAAATAATGAACGGTCCGTCCCTAAACACCCATGCACTGCTGGTTTCTGTTATCGGTCGCACTAAGATAGCATTGATAGGAATACCGAGGATTCCAACACATGCGAATGTCTGAAACTTACTGAGTGTCAAGTCAGGTTAACCACACGGTCAAGAGTAGACCAAGCACTGGAGCAAAGTTTGGTGATCTCGGGTAGGAGAGCCGTTTATGCTGCCCTTCTCCCTTTTTGATGATTCACGCGCACTCGCCGTGTACTGGTGTCATGATATTGCTTTTGGCCCCTTCATCCGAATAATCTGTAGTATTCAATCAGTACTTGCTGACACCGAATTGCGCTGTGATTACAATGTCGGATGGGATTGTGGGTACTTACGGGTTTAGCGACTCTTTTGCTTACACTACAGTGGTCTACAGTAGATATTGTGAGATTACGCCGCGATTTGAGCGATTCAGACCATATCCTACCAACATCTGCTTAGAGTAGGGTGTCTGTTCACGTGGAGAGCGACCCATAATACAACAAGAATTCAGAGATCTCATACCTCCATGAAATATGTAGAGTTTTTGTATTTTTTTGGCGACACCTCTGGTGCGGAGTCGTTTAGTTAAGATTACACCTTTTCAACGGAGTTGCTGGGAAAAACGATTTTCCCTTGCTAATGGCTTATATGCTGAAAATGCTTACTATTTCATGTTTCTGAAAGATAAAACAAGGTAGGCCATAAATACATTTTCTGTGTTTTGCTAGGTTGACGGACCCACTGGACGATCGTACACGTTTGCTCAACTGAAGAAACTAATCCGTGTGTGCGGCAGCGCCCTCACACGGCTGGGCTTCAAACAGCATGACGTGTTCGCCATCTACAGCCCCAACCTGCCGGAGTTTGCCATCATTTTCTTCGGAGTCATCGGGATTGGAGGCACCGTGACGACGGTCAACCCTCTGTACACGGCAGGTGTGTCACCTTGAAAACTATGACTTTGTGTAATCTCTTTTCAACAACCACATTCAATGTAAATCTGCTATTTGTTTTTTGACAGTAAGGATGCGTTTGTCCTTTCTCACCTTATCCAGATGAGCTCGCACATCAGCTGGAGATGTCTGGAGCGTCATACGTCATCACCATCGGCATGTTCGCCGACAAGGCTAAACAGGCCAAGGACAAATGCGAGAAAGTCAAGGTTAAGAGAATCTCATTTCTTAAGGACTTAAGACGGAAAAATCAATCTTTTTCAGTGAAGTGCACGGACTCAAATTAACAAGTTTAGGTGTACAGGTACGTACTTGAGCATGACGAGGTGGCCCTGAGATGTGGTTTAAAGCCAGGCGTTGAGACCAACATTACAGGAAAACGTTACAGTGGCACGTCCGACTTTTGACTCATGATAAAAGTGACTATCATCTAACAAGTATCTTTCTACTCCAGGACGTGTACGTGTTCGGAGAGGCTGAGGGCTGCACGCCGTTCTCCTCCCTCCTGCGGGACGACGGCTCAGCCTTCCCGGCGGACGTGCGGGTCAATCCGCGGGAGGACGTGGCGGTGTTACCGTACTCCAGCGGCACCACGGGGCTGCCCAAGGGCGTCATGCTCACACACTACAACCTCATCGCCAACCTGGAGCAAATGAGGTAAGAATCAACATTTTCTATTTTCAGTACCTTTTAAAATTCACTTAGCGTTAGTTTCTTCGTTTGTTGTCGTTGGGATGAAAACAGGCAAACGGGGAGGGGGGGGGGCTGGAGCATAAGAAGTCTGCATGAGACCGTGATTGTTTGCTTGTATTTTGTCCGTTGTTCAGACAAGATGAATCTGTAGAATCAGTCGAGAACCCGTGCCTTCTGGGACTTCTGCCGTTTTTCCACATCTACGGCATGTCCGTCATCCTTGCCGCTTCACTCCAGTTGGGGGCCAAAGTCGTCGTCATCCCCAAGTTTGACCAGGAGCTTTTCCTGAAGTGCATCCAAGACCATAAGGTACAACAATCTACTAATGCGTTAGACTAGCTACTTACAGACAAAGAAAAGGAAGAACAGCTAGGGTAGCCATCAAATTTTATCAACTTGGAATACTTTTATCTTTTCGTCCTACATACATGTACAGGCAGATACATCGATGAAATGCGTTGCTTTGTGACAAATTCATTCAGAGATACTTCGTATACATTAAGAGGCTTGCTTTGAAACTCATATGAGTTTCAAATCAGTTTTATGTTTACCCCCGCCTAGGTGACCCACGTGCATCTGGTCCCTCCCATCGCCCTGTTTCTGGCCAAACATCCGATGGTGGACAAGTACGACTTTTCCCACGTCCAGGAGTTGTTCTGTGGAGCTGCGCCGATGGGAAAAGAACTCAGCGACGCTGTAAGGAGCCGTCTGAAGGTGCCATCTATCAGACAAGGTCAGTTATAGGCACCTCAATGACAATGGCAAGCATATGGCCAGGTTCTCACAATGAGCCGTTTTATATGATAAAAACTTAATTACGTGTACAGAAACGTCATAAGACGTATGTTTAAGCTATAAGCAATCCTTAGTTAACTGGATATCGGATACATCGTTATTAGAAACACATATATAGGTTCTACACGTTGCTACTATCGTATAAAAAGTGTTTGGCGATGTTTGTATGCAGTATATGGTTTTGTTTTGACCAGGATTTGGCATGACGGAGACAAGTCCAGTGACGCACATGGTGAGGCTGGGAGAAAGTAAACCTGGATCCGTTGGAGTTCCCCTGGGTCACACAGAAATGAAGGTGAGTGCACTAAGTTACAGGAATAACAAAATCAAGACAAGAAACATGTCTGAATGACACATTATGCCAACACACATACATTGATCAGTAATTTTTGTGACCTAAGTGTCTGTGTTTTGTACGTCCTTGTTATAACAGCGTAATCGATTGGACCACTAAAATTGATGATTAAGTTGCATATGGGTCGGTATGGCTTGTATTAGTAAGCAACGATGATAGAGGACCTCTGTGACTAAATACTAGCCGTTGGTATCATATATATAATCATTGACATGCACGTTACTCGATCTCAAGTGACTAAAAGTGACATGTTTGTTGTGACGTTAATCGTGTTGTTTTCTACTGACGCAAAGGTGGTGGACATCGAGTCGGGTAAGCTGCTGGGGGAGGGTGAAGACGGTGAGCTGTGTGTGAGGGGTCCTCAGGTGATGAAGGGTTATCTGAACAACCCGGAGGCCACGGCCAACACCATCAAGGACGGCTGGTTACACACAGGTAGGTGGTCTATCAACAGATTTGCAGGTATTAACCAATAAGGACAAGTATACGGCGTGCTGTTTGTACAAAACAGCACGCCGTATACTTGCTTGTATACTATACTTGTATTATTTTGCGAATGGCCCAAAGTAATAATCATTGCTGATTGGTAAAAGGAGCTCCATACTGCTCTCATGACACAATGTTTAACGCTGAAATGTAGTTCGTATTGTAATATAAGACTGTTGAATATGCCTACACAGGGGATATCGGCCACTACGACAGTGAGTACAACTTCTACGTGGTGGACAGGCTGAAAGAGCTGATCAAGTACAAGGGATACCAGGTACAACTTCTTCCGTTTGACTATGCGAGGTGCATATATATAGAACATTTGTGTGTGTCGGTCGGACAAAAAAGTAGACATTGACTCCATGTACCCGGTCGAGTTTCAGGTAAGAGAGTAAATGTGAAAGGTCAAGTTTTGTAATGGCAATACTACGACTAGAGCGATGCCGGGATTTGCTGCACTGCTCTAATAAACTAATATAACAGCTACCTTGTTTTGTGACTCGAAGGTGCCTCCTGCGGAGTTAGAGGCCCTTCTCCTGTCTGAGCCACGCGTTCAGGACGCAGCAGTGATCGGGGTGCCGGACCTGGAGGCAGGGGAACTGCCGAAAGCTTATGTCGTCAAGAAGGCAGACTCTGATGTCACAGAGGAGGATATCAAACAATTCATCGCGGGTAAAGACTACAGCGCACTTTCCACTTGTAGAAACAACACAATGATGTTCATTGAACATGTCACGGATAAATATGCCTCGGTGCAGCTTAATATGTTAAAATGACAGTTATAAAGGGTTGATGGGCCTCGGTTAGAATCTATTAGAGCTAGGCTTTGGTTTCTTTTTACATCTATAACAGGGCATCTTTCCGCGATTACCCTGCACTGGCTACTATGATGCAACTTAAACGTTTTATTTTCATCTCCAGGGAAAGTGGCTCCTTACAAGAAGCTCCGTTTTGTGGAGTTCACGGACCAGATCCCCAAGTCTGCCAGCGGGAAGATCCTGCGGAGGGTGCTGAAGGCGAAGGAGGTCGAGCGGCAGAAGAACGATTGAGTTCGTCTCTGAAAGATGATACTCTACCTTGTAGCTTTTAACATTCACTCAATCATTGTCAGGAATAATCATTTGTATTCAGAATTAGGTGCCATAACGCATGGTGGAAGAATTTTTACTGTTTATATATAGTCTCTCGTGTAAGGAGTACGTAGCTACTATGGGTAAGGGCCGAGTTGAGGCACTCGATCAATGAACAGTCCCATTACAGTCAGTCTATGCAGTAGTTTATAAAGGCATCACGACATATAGACCTTGCGTGTCTTACAGATCATATTACTACAATATGACACATGAAATATGGTTACCATAGCAGGCAATGATAGAACAATCGTATATTTGTACTTTGAAACAAAACAAAACAAATAGGTCATCTGATAAATATTGTTTTGACATAAACGGTGTCATAAAGATTTAGATGAGAAGAAATATTTTACAGTGTATCCTTTTGTAACAAACGTATTGTGATTTCACTTAGGGTTACATGCTTTCCTACATTGTCTTGGTTCCACAAGGGATCAAATATGTACTTCTTAGGGAACCTGCTACTCAGAAGGATGTCTGTGTATCTACAAAGCGTTAGTGTGAGAGTTTGTCGTTCGATCAATCTAAAAACCCGTCCGCGCTGCCGTTGGGGCGGGGAAGCGCGCTGAACTGACAGACGTAGTACTCCCTCCGGCCGCACTGCTGGTCGTCCCACCTGAACCCGGCGGCGGGCCACAGGTGCACACAGTCCTGGGACGTGGTGGGGTTTCCTCCGTCGTTAGGCTCACCTGTTTCATGAACAACACAAATTATCAGTATGCGAGGAATATACATGAAACGGTCTTGAGCAAATAATGCTTGATATCACAAACTGGTAGAATCATATTACTGCAAGTGTGCAGGATTGGTGCAGTCTCCCTCTCGGGTGAAGCGACACTTATGGCAGCATTAGAGCTTCCTTTGCTGCTTCTGTAGCACGATTAGTTGGCTGTACCATATTATAAGCCTTTCCTTGTATGTAGCTTAGGTACAAATAATGTGGAACGGCCTTGACACGATCTCTGGAAGACACTGTTTCTTGCTACTAATCAGTACAATGAGAATGCTTCATCAAGAATATTCGCCGCGAAAAAGAATGACGAGGGCTGACTGGTCTTTCTGGCAAACTCCCAATGCTAACGGCTTACCTAATGTCCAGTAGCTGTACCCAGCACCTAGCGGAGTCCCGTCACTCCACACGAAATGCCCCTCATCCGTCCTGTCGTCCAGCCCGATCCACGTGTCCCTGCTGCCCACTAGCTGCATGAGGAACAGCTGTGTCTCCCTGTCCGGGACTGTAGCCAGGATACCGCCCTCTTCTGCACACCTCTGTTCAGCCTCGGCAAACGTAGCAGTGGAAGTAGACAGGGTGAAGCACCTGTCCTCATACCTGTTACAGTCTATGGAACGAGAAAAACAATTGTTCAATAAGTGAGGTTCTACTTGGCCAGATACAGTTGAAGATAGGGACGTCGAAAAAGACCAACTTTGCAATTGGAACTGAAGAATTTTGTCCAATCATCATCAATCTTATGCGGAATCCATAACAGATATTCTTACATCGAAACTAGCTCTTTCTGAATCGTTCAAACATGCCCTTCTTACCTGAGCAGGTATAGGATCCCTCGGTGTTGACACAGTGCTCGTAAGGTCCACAGGTGTTCAGGGTTTCGCTTTGGCATTCGTCTATATCTATGTAGAAAAGAATATCAGATGAAAGATTAAAAGAAAGATTCAATGCAAAGAGGGCTCACAATCCGATAAGGAAGCGTCGGAAATTTGCAAAGGAATTGTCAACATTACAAGTTTCTTACATTTGCAGCTGCCAAATCAAGACACAAGCCTTTGTTTTCTTATAGGAACACAAGCACAGTCTATACATGTTTATATACAGACCTAGACAGTCGTCCCCGTGATAGCCCTCATGACAGGTGCAGTAGTAGCTGCCGTCAGTGTTGGTACAGTTGGAGTTGTCTGGACAGAACCCGGCATAGCGACACTCGTCTATGTCTGGAAACAACGTCAATATAATCAATCAATCTTCCTTGAATCTTCACAAAAAGCTTACTAGTATTGTAAAGAATTGTAATCTTGCCATCACTTTGATACAATACGTTTAGATCATATGTGATGTTTTTCTGTAGCCACGTTACCTTCAGACTTGTTCATCTATTTCCACTCGATGACTACTATTGTATATGAACATGTTTAATACTACACCACCAGGCACTTACCAATACAGTTGGGCTCCTCGTACCCATCCAGACACTGGCAGGAGTAGGTCCCTGGTCTGTTGACACACCTGGCACCGGGACAGACGTCTGGCTGCTGGCACTCGTCAATGTCTGAACAAACACGGAAATACTTCTCTTTAATTCGGTATGAACAGCTACGGAAAAGACCCGTTATCTATTACACATTACTAAAAGTTAAGAACATTCTAAAGAAAGGTACAAAATGTACAACTTTGACCATCGTACTACTTGACACTATTTGTAGAAGAGATATAAAAGTAACAGGTGCAGTAACGGTATATGATGTTGGTGTCACGCAGGGATGCACGGGTACTTACCAACGCACGACGCTTCCTCCTCGTTAGCGCTGAGCAGGTATCCAGGCAGACAGGTGCACTCGTATCCCTGCGGGGTCAGCTCACACGGGTGGATCCCACAGTTACAGTCTTCAAACGCTGTGGAAAATACAGATTCATGTTATGACCTTCCAAATAAGTAAAAGAAATAGACATAAAAATATATGATGTACTGAATTCAATTCTTTCATCAAAAGAAATATTTTGCATACCTTTGCATTTCGAAACATCCATGGCCCCACTCTTGTCCGTAGTGGTCCCGTTAGGACACAGTTTGCAGTCCGTCTGCCCGTACTGGTCCTGGTAGGTGGCGTAAGGGCAGGGACGACAGGCCTGCTCAAACACGTCATGGTATGTGCCGGGGCCGCATGGAACTGTGGAATGTAAAAAACAGATATATGGTTCTGATTGAGGATTCGTCTATAGTAACAAGTCCCTTCATGAAAGATGTTATGTAGTACTTAAGGACCAAGATTCTTAGGAGGCTTTGATTTGCAAGTGACCGTTAGTAAAAGAAGAGGCATATTTCATCAACGTGCAAAGTTTAATAAAGAGCCTACCACATTCGATGCCCTGGAGCAGCTCGCCTTCCTTGCAGCCCAGGTTCGGTTGTGACGTGTGGAATCCCCCGTCCATAACCGTCAACGGGCTGCCGTCCACTGACATCATCACGTCTCCTGAAGCAACCAGAGTTTGCAGGCCCGAGGCAACTTGGCTGGAAACAGAAGTAGATTTTGGAAGGTATCGATTACTGTGTCAGATTCAAGCTAATGGCAAATTATGAACGAAAGTACAGCTTATGAAATACATAACACCATTTTACCTGAGTTCTCCTGCCAGTCGAACCCACTCCATCTGTATGGTGTTAGTCGGGGTCACCTGGCTCATGTCGGCATAGGCGAGCAGGTGCACAGACACCTGGTACTGGATGCCTGCACTGCGCTTCCGAAGTCGCGGTCCAGATCTTGCATTGGGGGCTGTTTCAACTACTATTTCGCCGATCTGCAGAAAGGTGGGAAAATATAATTTTCTTGAGTCAGTCATAACTTGACAAGCAGACCAAAGGAACAGTGAATAAAAGTTATCAGAAAGGACAAAGGGAGGGTTTATTTGCTGACCTGACAGGGATCGTTGCACAGTCCTAACGATTGAAGGATCCGCCTCATCTCAGCTTCGATAGCCGCCACGTCCAGAGGTGCGTTGGCGTTGATGACCAGCCCTCCCACGGTGACAGCAGCGAATGGGTTGGACGGAGCTGAACAGAACAAGGAACACTCACACATCAGCAATGTGATTGAAGTTGTGGTATTGTTTTCCACGTGTAAAAGTGGGTAAATTATTTGGCAACATTTTGGTACACAAAAGAAAAAAATAATCACCTGAACATTGTCCCACGTCTACATAAGTCAGCAGCTGCTGCCCGGCGGGGAGGTAGATTCTGATCTTCCACAGCCACGATGTCTCCACACTGCACTCGTACATGTCTTCATTCCTGAGCAAAATATGTACATCGCGTTTTACTTCCCCATTGGTAACTAATGGTTTATAGGCTGATGACATAGTTGAATGATACATACTATAGAAAGAATTGTCTTACCTGTTGTACACCTTCGGTGCGTTGCAGTGCATCTGACAGTATTCCACAGGCGTGGTACCCTGGGGGCTCTGGAAGCAGATCTTAGACCCGGCTGACGGAGCAGCTAAGTTCGATCGATCACACAGGCTGTATGCTGGAATGATATGACGTTGGTATTTGTTGTCAGCCGATGCGTCATATGTGATGGCATGAAGAGATAGAAGATATCATCAACATGTCTTTTGTTTTTACACTAACTTTCTCGCCAAAAAGGGCGAAATGATGTAGAAGTGTTTATACTAACGTTCACAGAACGGTGTTGGTCCCCAGGACCCGTTAGCGTCGCACACAAGGGTAGCGTTGCCCTTCAGAAGGAAGCCGTCTTCACAAGTGAACGTAGCCACGTCACCGAAACACAGCCCGGTAGAGTTACTCATGCCGTTCCGTATGGCCCCGGGTTCGCCGCAGCACGTTTCTGCAGGAAAATTACAAAATTTACATTCATAATGCATAGTTAGGCCCATAAACTGGCCTGTGTACTTAATGTCCTCAAAAGCTATCAACCATCATACGATGTTTATGTATTAGTGCATGCACTTTGTCGGTTGATGGGTGGATGTAAAAAATACAGCAAATTGTACTCTCCTAATCCAAGAGAACACGTGTGTTGTCTCAACTTACCTTGACAAGTGGGCATCTCCCCATCCCACTTGCCGCTCTCATTACAGACGACATACTGGTTCCCAGTAAGCTCGTAGCCATGGTTACAGCTGATGTCAGCGATGCTGCCGTAACAGTTGTCCGGGCGGAGACTGACGGACCCGTCAGCGACTATGATGGAGCCGTCACAGCACCTCTCTGTTGATGGAAAAGATAGGAACATGTATCCCGGTTAGCACTGTATATGTAGTACTATTAGCTAGCTTACGAAAACAATGACCAAATACCTGTTCCCAATTACTTTAAAACATACACAAACGAGGGATTCATAAAGACGTTGAACCTGGAAACAGATTCAATTGATAATCTCACAGTTTTCATTGACTGTGTTTCCTACGAAGACCACAAAGCAGGTATGAACTCACTCTGGCAGCTTGGTAACTGGTTACTCCACTGCGCAGTCTCAGTACAGGTCAGGCTAACGTCACCCACCAGCTCATGTCCGAGGTCACAGCTGAAGGTCACCGTGTCATTGAAACAGTAAGTCCCCATGTACTCGCCGTTGGGAACGGAAGGGCGACTGCAGCATTTTCCTGTCAGGCGATAGGATGTAGACAATTGATAAGCTTAAAGAAGACTGCAAAATAACCTACTAAAACCCTATGTTATGGATTGATAAAAGCGTGGACATGCCACTTTTAGAAGTAGCATATCACGCGTAGTACGTTTAACTCAGTTGACTCTAGTATTACCAGTGGTGTGCTGTTTCAGATTAAAGACGATTTCGTGATTCCTTACTCTGACATTGAGACGGAGAACCGGTCCATTGCCCGTTTGCTTCGCAGGTCCTGGTGCGACTTCCGATGAGCTCGTACCCAGGGTCACACGTGATCGTCACAACCTCTCCAAAAGAGAAGCCCCCGGTGAGAACACCGTTACGAGGAGGTGTGAGGCGGCTGCACTGCTTCTCTGGAAAATGGGCGGGAAAGGAAAATTATTGTGTGTCAAAATAAGCTAATCAATCTACGATGCTTATGAGAATAACTTATAATGGCAAGCTGAATTCATGAATATTAAAAAAACAATCTTACTTGTACAGCTTGGTTGTACTCCACTCCACTGTTGGTTGTCCTCGCAAGTCCTGATGGGTACTCCCACAAGGTCAAATCCAATGTCACAGGAGAAAGTCACCTGGTCACCAAACACGTGACCTCCACTGACGGAGCCGTTTGCAGGGGCGATGAGGGGCGCACACTGCTTTACTGGAATAAACAACCAGGGTTTTTACAATTTGCTAAGAACTTAACATCAAGAAACAAAAATGAGAATTCGTTTGCTGTAATTACTGTTTTTATCAGCCAAAGAAACGTATGGTACATATATATATATATATATATATAACTGGCTAAACGTAGTGTTGCCTAATAAACCTCCCAACCACCTGTATCAAATCTTGACCGTGTTCTCACTCAATCATTAAGACAATTACGTAAAACAATTTTGATGTCATGCATATACATCCCTGTTAAACATGAAATGTAGACACGAGTAGATTTATCTCCTTACTGTTACATGTCGGCTGCAGACCGCTCCACTGTCCGTCCGCCTGACACGTGCGCACGGCACTACCCACCAACTCGTACCCAGGGTCGCACGAGAACGAGGCCGTGTCGCCGTAATATGTCCCGCCATTGGCTGCTCCATTTGCAGGGACGGTCAGCTGTGGGCAGCGCTTCTCTGTGGGAGTGACAAAAAGTATCATTTTTGTTTTCCATTGTTGTTTTCATACCCATTACGTTATATTAGATTGTTTTTGTTTTTTTGATCAATTAAAACGTTAACCTATCATTCCATACTCACTCTCACAGTACGGCTGTACTCCTGTCCACTGCCTGCTGCTCTGACAGGTTCGCTGCTGACTACCGACCAGTTCGTAACCAACGTTACATTCAAACGCCACGGTGTCCTTGTAGTAGTTGGTCCCGTTGATTCCGCCGTTTGGTGGTGCGTCCAGCATTGGGCATTCGATTTCTGAGAAGAGATTAACAGGACAACATTAACATACAGGGCTTTGGACTTCATTACCTTCAGGGTCACTACGCTCACGGTACTATGCGTTCTTTTAGTCAGTAACTTGCCTACAGGCACGACAAAGTAGACCGAGAAGCAGCGTAGGTAACAAGTGACAATCATGCCGTGATGACGTACTCTGACACGCGGGCTCCCTGCCGCTCCACTGCTGACTGGCCTGACACGTTCTCTCCGCACTCCCCGTCAGCTCGTACCCTTCTGCGCATGTGTAGGAAGCCGTGTCGCCAAAGTACGTCCCTCCCGTGACGTTGCCGTTGGCGGGAGCGGACAGACCTGGGCACTGCTTCTCTGTAAGGGTGAGACAAGAGTTCAAAATCTGTAATTCACAGTGGTTCTAGTGTTTAGCATATTTCATAATGTCAGTACGTAGAACATCGTTGACAACATACACTTTCTGGTCAAAGTTACGTATAACCTAAGTCCTTTGGCTACAATAGAAATACTTTAAAGAGTAAAAATTGTACGGAAATTTTGACCAAAAAAATATCATTTTCCACTCACTGATACACGATGTTTGTGTTCCCGACCAGGTGCGATCCGCCTGGCAGGAGCGGGAGGTACTGCCGCTCAGCTCGTACCCAGTGTTGCAGACGAAGGTTGTCCGGTCGCCGAAGAAGTTGTTTCCGCTCATCTGACCGTCGGATATAGGAGCCAGTGGTGGGCACTGCACCCCTGTAAACAGGAATCATGTTTGAAGCTGGAAATGAAGGGGTGCCAGGCGACATGTACGGAAGTTTGCAAACAAACCTTGAACAACAGCTGTCAGATTACCCTGCCATATGTGTATCTTTTGCTCACCAGCAAACGCTATGACTTTATACCCATATCAAGGGCGATGTCGTCTTCAATTGATAATTATGTCAATATGTGGCGTTTTCATTGTCCCTGACTGAAAAATTCAGACGATGACTTACTGCCACAGGTCGGCTGGGTTCCATCCCATTGCTGATTGGCTTGACAGGTTCTGGTATCGCTGCCGCTCAGCTCGTACCCAGGGTCGCATGTGAAGGAGACCATGTCGCCATAGAAGTTGCTGCCTGTCATGTTTCCGTTGGCTGGCCGGGACAGGGCGGGGCACTGTTGTCCTAGAACGAGAGGAATTAACGTAAATAAATAATACATCCGTTTCCTAGTTATCAAATAGAAAAGATGTTTTGCTACAATTGTACACCATTATGTAATTCTATTAGTTGCAGTATCAGAATACACTATATGCTACTCTATGTAGACATTTCTCACAATTGTTCTGCATAACGGTAACCAGGTGTTGCACTTACTTGTGCAGCTTGGCTGTAGACCGGTCCAAGTCTTGTCGGCCTGACAGGTGCGCGTGACTACAGGGGCAGGTCCAGTCATCTGATAGCCGCTGTTACAGTAGAAGATGACGGTATCACCATAGCCATTTCCACCCGTCTTGTAACCGTTTGGAGGGGAGTCCAGCTCTGGGCATTCGTTTTCTGTAATGAATGAATAAAGACAGTGGGTTATTGTATTTGCTCTAACTTTAACTGTATGTATTGAAAGCTAGGTCAACGACCTTCAAAGACTTTGAAATAGTTTTTCATTGTCCGTTGTCTTCCATAGCGCAAAAGCTATGACTGTAGCTAAATGCTAGCAGGTCAATCACAGCGTACCTGCACATGTGGGTTGTGCACCGGTCCACAGACCGTCCTCCTGACACGTCCTGCTGCTGCTGCCCGTCAGAGTGTAGCCCGTCCAGCAGCTGAACTGCACCGTGTCGCCGTACTCATGCCCGCCCGACACAGAGCCGAACTTCGGCGGGTTCAGGGTGCTGCACTGGACCTCTGCAAACGCGAGTACAACACATGAGCTGCTGCATCATTGATGCCTTCAAACACCATGTACATGTAATCAGGACAGAATATAACAAAATGTGAACAATACGCCTGAACGTGGTGGAATGAATGTTGCTGCCTAACTTTACAATTTCTTCTGAGTGCAGTTAGAATACAATAACGAGTAACTATCATGAATTTCCTCCAGAGCCACACGAGGAGAAATGGTCTAAACCTACTTGTGCAGTACGGCTGGTTACCGCTCCACTCCTGGTTGTCCTGACACAGTCGTATGGAGGTGCCGATCATGTCGTACCCTGTCTCACAGAAATACGTCACCGCCTCGCCGTACGCGTTCCCGCCGGTCACCGCGCCATGGTCGGGAGCGGTTACTGCTGGGCAGGTCTTCACTGGGAGGGCAAAATTCACCATTAACGGTATAGAATGTATGTCAACACCACAGCTAGGGATGTAAGCCTGTAAACTTGAAATCAAGCGAGGAGACAACCTGTAGGTGTTTATTGTCTCTCCCTTCCTTGCGTCCAAGGGTATAAAGTCAAATAAAAAATAAACATTAACAAATTAAAGTTTGTTTTCATGGTATTCCAAGATGAAATCTGTGTAGTCTTTTGTACATTCTGTACAGTCGTACGCACAATGTTCACGTTACACGTTTACCTACTTCGATCAATTAAGCACGGGTATTTGGGTATACAGACAGTTTGTATAACTGAAGTAACCGTACATTCGCAGATAGGATCTGGTGCGCTCCACGTCTTGGTGGCCATGCAGCTCCGTGTGGGGTTCCCCACCAGCCCGAAGCCCACCTCACACTCGTACGTCACCGTGTCTCCGAACGAGTTCCCTCCCGTTACTGCTCCATGGGCGGGCGGCTGCGACACGGGGCACTGCGAGCCTGTATAACAGTAAACTTGTCATGGAGTGGCAATACAAGGCAATATGCTAGTAAGTGGTCAGGACTTGCGTGTACTTTTCATTTGTTGCTTGAACAGTTGAGTCCAGTTCATGCTGAATATCTTTCAGAAATTTACTCACGGACACACGAAGGTTCTGTCCCGCTCCACGTCTGGTCGTTCTGACACGTCAGCGTGCTGCTGCCCATGATCTCGTACCCAGTGTTACACGTGAAGGTGGCCTGGTCCATGAAGGCGGTGCCTCCAAACCTCATGCCGTTAGCGGGAATGTCAAGTGGATCACAGTGTGCCTCTGGTTGTGATAAAACGACGTGTTAATGACTCAAAGTCAACAAGGTGTAACATTCTGTGACAAGGCTCCAATGTAAGTAGCTAGATAAGAACGATCTTCCGTACATCATCAGCAGCTGCTTCATTTGGCTTTTCACTTACTGTATTGTGCACTTTTCTCCATGTCTAAACGTTAACTTTTCGGAATGCAGCAGATAACCGCATGGCATTTCATATACTAGAACTAGTATCTACCGAAACAGTACCGTGGTACACAACGGTCTGTTTTACTATAAATCGCTGTCTATTAGGATATCTCTGATTAGGATCAGTGTAACACCGTCCTACAACTTACTGATGCAAACAGGTTGTGATCCGGTCCACTGTTGCGTCACCTGGCAGGTCCGGGTGGTACTGCCCTGCAGCAGGTACCCGGGGTTACAGGAGAAGGACACCATACAGCCCACGTCACAGCCGCTCAGTCCGTCAGTGTTGTATATAATACTGCCGTACAGGGGAGCCTCTAGGCAGGCGCACTGTTCCACTGTGGAGGAGGTAGTCAGTGTCGATGATTTATCTCATCAAATACGAACTGTCTATTTCTGTTCCTCAGACTATATATAATGTTACAGTCATATAGCGTTATGTGTTTTAATAGATACAAGTAAATGCGATCAAACTTTATCAGGTAAGTCGTCGCAGGCTGTTTTCTTTATACTCTAACAACAATCTTTCAACACAATTTGTGAGTATTATGACACTCATTATAGTAGTATTCTGAGTGACGAGTGTGTGTAGGATACTCACGGACACAGTCTGGCTGGATCCCAGTCCAGGTTCCGTCAGACAGACACGTCCGGGAGTAGCTGCCTCTCAGCTCGTACCCAGGGTCACAGGAGAACGTGACGGTGCTGAGGTAGGACCGGCCTCCGGATGAGTCTCCGTTGAGAGGAGGGGGCAGCTGCGGGCACTCCACGGCTGCGGGGGAGGAGAGGGCCGTGTGAATTTTCAATCCGAACAAAGCTCTGTCAGAATCCCTTGCCTCGCGTATGTTCCTCATTCTCATATTAAAGTTTATGATAGTTTTAGAAAATGCTCCCACCCATTAGATACGATAAGACAATATTCTAGAGATTTTCAACAGACAATTGAGTATTTAGGTATTATGTAGCGATGCCGCTGCAACTGCCAGCTTCAGCTTCATACATTTGACATGGCTTCTCAGTTAAAACATACCTGAGCAGAACGGCTGGGCGTGGCTCCAGGTGTGGTCCGGGTTGCAGGTGAGAGAGGTGACGGTTCCGTTCGGCTCGTTCCCAGGATTACAGACGATGTTGATGACGTCCTCTGTGTAGGTTCCTCCGTACAGAACTCCGTTGGGGTCTAAGGTAAGCGCGGGGCACTGCCCGCCTGTAGATACGTGTCAGATGTGAAATGTTTAATCAGCACTGTTTTCACATCGCATCTGGGTTTCCCATATCTTTTAAGGAACTAAAAGATATTCATGCCCTTTAGGGAATATCTATGGTGAGTTGATTAC